GAGGTTATTTAAAAGATAAAAATAAGTATGTATTATACCCATTTTATATTAATGATACAGTACATATATATGATTAATGTTCATTCATATTAGTAAAATAAATGATAAATGTGTAAATGATAATAAATTAGCTTCAAAAATAAAGTGTGATTAAATGTATTACAGAAAAAAAAGGAAAAAAATATATATATTTTAATATATGAAAAAATTTACAAAATAAACCAATTTATAAATTATTTTATTATTGTTATTTACTATAAATTATCGATCATTATTATTATTTTAATAAATTATATTTTTGTTTTTGTCACAAATTGCACGATTTAAGGTATAATCCATGTTCATCAAATTTTTTGAAAATTTAGGATAAAAAATAACATATGTAATAAAGTAAAAATTATATATTTTCTGAAAGTATTATCCTCTAGATGATATATATTTTTTATGCCTAATTTTTATAAATTTTATTAAATAATATTATATAAAAATTTTTAATTGTTCTAAAAGTAAAAATATACATGCATTCACTTATTAAACATCAACATTCAAAATAATTTAAAAAGGAGAATTAAATAAACATATTATTTGACGTATAACTAAAATATAACTTATTTTTGCATTATACACTTTAACAATTTATATTATTGAAATAATATAAATATTTTTAAATCACTAAATTTTATAATATTTTTTGCATTCCAAGAAATTTAATTATACGTATTAACAATAAATCATAGTTGACCCCACTTTTAGCTGAACATAAAATATTTACATAATTTCTATATTTTTTCACATATATATATAAACGTTCATATGTCAATTTAATTTTAATATTTAAATTCTTTATCTTTTATATTCATTATTACATTAGTATTGTACTTACCACTAAATGTGTCTTCTATAGCAACCATATAATTTTATTTATTCGATATATAAAATAATATTTCCTATTATAGAAAAATATATTCATAAATATATTATGCTCTGAAAATTTTGCTAAATTTATGGGGTTATGTTCATGCAATGTGTTGGCATATTGCAATTAAAGAACCTAATTTTCTACGTTCTTTTACATGGAACTTACATCCTCATTTTATTTATTTAATTATAAATTTCTTTCTCTATTGATGAATAGCAAAATTTTAGCAATATGGTTATTTCGCCCATTAAATAGGAGTGTTTCCAGGTTGCCCCAAAATAATTTCACAATCTGAAATCTTTTCATTATACTTTCAAAATTATTGTAAAGTATTAAAAGAATTTTATACAGAATATGGTTTATTAAATTCCCCTATGTATAAGAAAATTATGATTAAAAGTTAATATTCTGATAATGTAAAATATTAAAAACTAAATTTAGGCCCTTGGACAAAAATTGTTCTGAATAAATAAACTGTATACCTTTGAATTATTAGGTATATAAATGAATAAATGTAATTTTTGGTACTAATAATAATACTAATATAACCCTTGTATTTTGTGCTCTTCAACTTTTGTATAGTATTTTTATTTAAGTCTACAAAAAATAACATTATTACAATACAAATAATCCAGGCGAGATATAATTATTGTAAATTTTTGGAAAAATGTAAAGTATTATATGGTTACTATGGAGGATTTGCTAAAAATATAAATATGCTAATTGATAAGGTTATGATTTCAAAAAATATTATACATATATTCAAAACTATGTAGAATAATATGGATATTTAACAAGGCAATGTATATTATCATATGAAAAAAAAAATCCCAAAACATTTGATTAATTTAGGGAAAATCACCAATGAATCCTTTTAAATAATATTGCATATCATGTAGCAGTTCAATCAGAGCAATATGTAGTAAAAATAAAATATACACCACAATAAAATAAAATATAGCAAAAATTGATGATAGCCCATAATAAAATGTGTTAGAAAAACATTGGTATATTAATTCGGAGTTCAAAATGGGTGTTTATATCCATCAAGGATTCTTTGTTAATGCATTATATTTCTAAACCTGAAACAACTTTTAAAAATGTCCTTTTCGTAAATGTTGCAATATTTATCGTTTCCAGTGTTTCATATAAAGAAAATACTAGTTCCTACGTCATATATGAACTGTATTGATTTCCATATAATTTATATTCATAATTTAACTATAAATAATACATGAATTACTAGTATTTTTTACATAAATTTAACATATCAATGTATGCACCCATAAATATCTTGTTAAGGAAAATAAACTGAAAACATATGTATTTTGCAAATAATAAAAAGGAAGGTAAGAATATATTATTTAGCAATGCATTAGAGCCACATAATCTATATTATAATGATGGAAAAGTTTATTATATATGATATCAAAGTCCATCATTTTTTTTATATAAAAATAGATAATAATATGTATAAGAAACTATTACTAATAAATAATTGTGTTCAAAAATATAAAAATATATTTAATAAGGAAAAAATTATATGGGTTATTGATTATATTGAAAACATACATGTATATATAATAAGTTAGAAAAGGACAAAAAAAAAAAAAAATAAACACAGGATATATTAGTAGATATAATAAAAAATAAATTCAATAATAAATAAATTAATTGATCATTAAAATAATATATTTTTAATATTTTTGAAAATTAACATTATCCTCATGTTTCCTCATTATTTAACAATTGTTATTTTACTTTCATAAATTATATATTTACCTTATATGATATAATAATTATATATAATCAATAATAAATTTTATAATTTTATAATATACAACCCAAATAACTATTTCCTTACAAATACACAAGTTACCTTAATTGTTCTATATATATATTAGTGCAAATATTATACTATTCTACTTCATTTGATGGGATGAAATATATACATGAAAAAAATATAAAGTAACATTAATTTTCTCTGCACTACATGAAGCATATTTAATCATACATAGTGTTAAATATGTTATCTAAATAATTTTAAATTAATATTATTCTTAATGTAAGCCATTGATATCTTATAATTGTGTTTATATGTTAAGGATATTATAAATTATCCCATGGAATATTTATTAAATTCTTAATTTATTTATTCCATTTAGGCTTGAACAAATTTTCTAACTAAATTGATTAATATGAATTCGGAAGCGAATATTTGTTATATCATAACAACAAAGAGCAATATATATATTTGCTTTCATATATTATATATACGTGAAAAAATTGAAATATTTATAATAATAATAATTTAATAAATATATATATATATAATTAGTTTATACATTTCTTAAAAAAAATAATTCTTTTAATTGTAATGTAATAGTATAAAAAATTACATCATATGCAGATATAAGAGCTATATAAATATTATATTTTCGTTTTAATACTCAACAATAATATGTGCACAAATAATAAATAAAACAATTATAATATTATGCGTCCATGAAAATATTTCAAATAATCAATTATTCCCAAAATTGGTGCCACATCTGTATTTATATTTTATTAAAAATATATGTATCATACTAATACTAAATCATATATATTATAAAATCATATATATCATTGTTCAGACAGTTAAAAACCTATATATACACGATTACGACATATCACGTTATTCATAAACTTCAGATTAATATACGGTAATAATATGCTTATTAAAAATTTCTCTATGTAAAAATTTATAAGTGTGTCATAAAATCTAAATCTAAACACTAATCCTTATTGAAAAAACATTAATAATGATTAATTTTACGTATAATGATTCCCTTATATGTACAATCTTTTACTAGATGAACTTTGTATTTTCCTATCTAAAAAAAAAATTAGTATACAAAAAAATATAATGTAAAAAATCAAACATTGTAACATATATCTAAGCGAATTTACTTAAATTAACAAGCTACATATGATTTATATTATTTAATATGCTCTCTTCCTCTATTATTGTATTACGTATATGTATTCATTCTTAATATACATATGTTTATATTGCTAAATTATTATATTTTATGTAAAATTAATGAATATATACACCTGTGTATTAAATAGAGTTTAAGTTTTAATAATCAAGGCATAAAATTATAAATATGTTCATTTTATTTTAAAAGTAATGTTTACAAACATGTTATTATAATATTATATATTATATTGCTATTCAATAAACATAATTATTTTATAAGTGCATTATAACTGAAACTCTTAATATATAAAAGATAATAAAACCTTTATATTATATATATATGGAAATTATGCTTTTTCTCTTCTTTATTAATATTCCTTCATTACAAGAAAATCATTTTATTAACAAGTAATTAATTTAAATATATATACGAATATATATTATAGAAAATTGTTCATATTTTTTGGCCTTAAGCATATAGGGAAATTTATAGGATAATATATCATTAAAGTATATACTATTATGTTTTCATGGGAATTCCACCTAATTTTCTTTTATCCATTTTATTAAGCTATTATAATCCTTTATATATAAATAACAGAATTGAAAATTTCTAAGTGCTAATTATAATTTATTCTATTATTTAATATTTTTCGTATAAAATCACATATAATACTATAATCATAATAGTAAATAACAAAACAAAAATTAATTACATATATGCTCAAATTAAGAACATATCGCACAACACTCTATATATAATATAGGATTAACTGTATTATTTGATTTTCAAAGAATTATGATATTATTAAGGTTATGTTATATTAATTCATAATACATTTATATTGTAAACTAAATACTTATGTTTCAAGCGATTTTTCAAAATATATAAAGATGCATACTATACATCAAAAATGGTTGCCATTATACCCTTATCAGAATAGTAATTATTGATGTGAAATATATACGAATATTTTTCTACAATTCTATAAATAAAAAAAAAAATATTGAATACTTCTACATAATTTATGTCTTTTTTTAAAAATAACATTCTCCCTCTCATAAATCGCTTTATTGTTTTTGTTTTATATGTAAAACCATTTAATCTTACTTAAAATGGTTAGAATAAATGTATTTTATCATTAATAATATATAAATTAAAATAATGTGATACAAATTTTATAATATTTTCCATGATTTATATGAAAATTTGTTCAACGAAATATTATTATATTCATGTTATTATTATGTTTTTTTTAGTATGAAAATATAGTAAATTGTCCTGTGTGTAATGCATTTATGGAAGAATATATTAAAAATCCCGTGCCTCAAAATGAAAAATGTTCTAATGGCATTTTTTCTGAAGATCGGCAAATAATGAATATATTTCAAACACATAAGTGTAACGCAGCCATGTCATTTGTATCATTTATTGCAAGTGATTTTTATAATTTTCCTAGAGAAGCACGTTGTTTTTACTTATATTATTGGTTATATAAAGAAATAAATGCCCATAATAAAAGTACTATTATAGAGAAAAATTTTTATAATTTGTTATTTTATAGTATTTCTAATACCGATTTGTGTGATTACAATAAATATAATGATATTACAGATGATCAAATTAGTAGACTCAGTGATTTATATGACATGATTACGAACATTTATTATATAAAAACATCTAATTATCCTTCTAAAAAAAATAAATGCGATTGTGCTGATGAATGCTCACAGATATATGAACTCTACCATAATGAATGTGAACACAGCATAGACAATAATTTTTGTCAAGCATTAAAAAATATTAAAAGACAATATAATTCTTTAATCAGCTTATCTTATGGATGTGATACTATTAGATGCAAAATTTTACCCTGTATACAAAATAATGAGACTATAATGCCTTCTCCCAGAACGAATATTAAAAATACTATTATAACTACAACACTTTTAATATTAGCAATACCCGTTTTTGTTTTTTATACTTATAAGGTAACATATCTTATAATTTATAAATATTTGTACAACATAATGGGTTCTTTAAAAAATCTAAGAACATATAATTTCATAAACAATACATATATAAAATATATGTTTCTTTTTAATATTAATTAGTTCAATTTATACAATTATTTCATTCCCCATGGGGGAATAAGAAAAAATGAATTAAGGAATTATATAGATAATGAATTAGATGTGATGGAGATATCTGCAATATCGAACAGTATGCTAAAGAATTCTCAACGAAATATATTTTATCATACTTCATAAATTATCATTAATTATATAACGAGAACATATTAGCATTATGTAAACATTAATTTTAATAATATTATAAGCATAAGATTTCTTTTTATAATTTCATAAAATATGATATAATTCTTATTGTATAATAAGTGAAAAGAATGCATTTAATTTTTTTATATATTATTTCAATATGACCTATCTATCATATTAAATTTTATTTTGTAAGAATGAAATAACTAATTAGATGAAAAAATTATAAATTTTATAACCTTCTTTTTATTATATCTGCTAAATTTTGTATGAATATAATGTTCATAACATAATAAAAGTTTATTTCAAATAATAATGAAATAATATATATTACATTCTAAGACTATTATGAAAATATATACTACACATATTCATAATACTTGAAATCATTAAAAGCATTTCGCAATATATCAAATTATATAATCGCATAATAATGTTAAAAAATTCTCATGGAACTAACAGGTACTGTATTAATTATAAATTATGAATTAAAATATTTTTTATTATTAAAATATATTTTTATAATAAGTATCATATTTGATCATATAATCATCAAAAAAATACATAAATTTTATATTTACAAGAAGATTATTCATGTATAGAAATACACAAATTATGGAAATTAATTTTTTTATCATGTACGTTTTAATTGTGTTTACTTATATATATTAGTGTATAATTATTATAGAATATTTTTTTTTAATTTGTATAATTATGCTAATATATTAATTTCCTCATGAAAAGATATTAGAGGAAAAAATATATATTATGTACCTATAATTTGCAAATAATATGAAAAATTATTATATTATATATATGAAACATATCAAATAACTGTACATCCTTAAGTATACGCACGTTAATAAATATTTCATACTAATATAATTTAATATTAATGTATTCAAACTTACTAAAATAAGAAAAGTTTCTATAAAATTATTTCTGTCATTTCATAAAGATATTGTGTATTTTAATCAGTGCAGGAAATATATTACTAACTTAATTCTACCCGATAAAAATGTATTATAAACACAATTAACTAAGAGGAATTATATACAAGCAATGTTATAAACTGCATTACGACATAATAAATTTATGTCTCACAATAAATGTATGAATAATGCATTTAAAATAATAAATAAAGATTCAAATATAAAAAAATATATATTATTATATAATAATAAGATACATATATTTATTACTATAAATTATATAATATATAATACCTTTTTCACATAATGTCCAAATTTCATTTAATGCAGATAAAATTAAAATTGCAATATTTATATATTTATATCAATTATTATGCTATGGTGATTAATCTATATATCTGAAAATTAGAAAAAGATTAAAAATAAAGGCACAAACTCTAGAATAGTAACATAACAAAAAAACATTAATTTCTAAATTTAAAATATAAACCCTAAACCATCCAAACCTTTTAATGCCCAATGAAATATTTCATATATTAAATATATAATTAATATATTACATGAAATAAACTAAGAATGGAATTTTTTAGTAATTTATTATTAAGATCAAAATAATGTATTTTCTATGATAAGTTTAAATATATTTTTTATCCAATAATGAAAAATATCAAGTATATATCGCATAATATATGTATGGATTCTTAAATAAAATGGTAATTTTATTATTTATGCTAAACTTAAACAATTACACAAAGCTTCTATAATTCTAATATAAAATATAATTTTCATGATTTTCTTTTAAATTACTAATTTTACATGCACTAAATATCTATTCTAAATTATACATTTACATTATTCATAAGAGTAATATATTTTATAAAAAAATAATAAGATAAATAAATAATCTATCTTACATTATATAGTATTGTTATATAATATAAAAGATATTCACTATTTAAAATAACTTCATTTTGGTAATTTCTTTCTTTTAATCAACATATATTATACTCATCTAAAAGCTTATATTTGCTATTATATGAACGCTTAATCATTTAATTATGTTAGAATAATGTACTTATAATATTATTTATAAATATTTAACATCAATGTAACCTTGTACATTAAATTTTATTAAAAATATACGCACATTTAAATAAATATTTTTGAAGAATTAAGAAAGGAAGCAAATAACAACGAATTCAAGTTACATATATATTTAGAGTTTAATAAGTAAAAGAGTTATATACATATATATATCGGAATATTTTATTTTATATAAATACAAGTTATGTTTCATTCAGTAATATACGTAACAAGTACGTTCGATGGATGTTATATATTTAACTATTATACGAAAGTGAAGTTTTGTTTTTTAGCATTATCATGAAACATGATGTTAACTATTTTTTGAACGTTATGATTTTATATAAATAGCTATTTTCTCTATTATATATGTTTAAAAATTATTTAAATTTGTATTTAAATATGTATAATGAACATAAAACATTTAAAATCTGGTTCTTAGAATTAAAAGTGTATAATTTAATTCTTATGAATATAAAATTTTTTCTTTTTTTTTTTATACAATTATCATATAATTACATATAGTTATAAAATGCATAGATTCCCTGTTATTAAATAATATATATATAACAAGGAAAAATCAATTTATCAGACTGAGAAGGTGTAATTTTCTTAGTTATTATACTTATGTTATAATGCTATAAAATGTTTTCATATGTTTTAACAAAATATTTTATTTATATTTCAAAATATACATATAAATTTTTACTTATATTATAACTTTTATTTTTAGTTCGATTTTTAAGAAGTTTTTCCCAATTGTATGAATGCGTATATGAGTCATACAGGAAGAACAATGCTTAGAAAACTTAGAAAATATACAGAAGTGTGCAATTATGTAGTAAATAATGTAGGAAATTATAGTTCATTCTTAAATTCTCCTTGTATTATCTGAGTCAATATTTAGAACATATAGAAAAAAAAAATATAATAATAAAGAAGCATGTAACAGATATCTTAATTTCAAAATAAATTATGAAATAAAAACAATTTCTGATCATATTAAAAGTGAAAAATCCTGTTAACAACAATTAATAGGCACAACACTTAATGAAATAAACATGCCTAATGCATGTACAATCATGTTTGAAGATCTTCAACAAGAAACCCATAAACCATATAAAATATTGTATCATATATGAAGATTACTTATGTCATTAAAAAATGACAAGACCTGCGATTCTGCTCATTATTGTACTACTGAATGCAAGGAACTTTTATCATTAAATTACAAATGGGATAACAAGAGTGTGAGTGATATACTTGTGGAATTTATAGAGAAAGATCACAAATATATGAAATCAGGGTTAGAAATTACATATGTTATAAAAGTTATATATACCAATTCTGAGAGTTCTCCAAATATGAATGTAGTAGGTTCATCTGTTCCACTGGTTTTTGTAATAATAATTATCCTTATTCTATATAAGATTAATAAAGAATTAAATTTAAATATGTTATATAATATTTCAATTTATAGAACATATTATATTATTAAAAAAGGAATATTTGATATATACATAATAAAATTAGTCTATTTCATTCTTATCAGTATACTAATTATTTAACATACATAATACCAACTGTAAAGAAACTAAAATATCTATGGAAAAAAAAAAAAAGGAGTAACTAATTAAGAAATATATATAACACAAAATACAAAAATAGAACTCATGAATATTATCAAATATTATAGAGCTCTTCAGTTTAATAATAAAGCCTATAACATAATTTAATAAATTACGATTGTATTATTTAAAATAATCTGTTTAAAATACGATATATTTGAAGTAAAACTCTTAATTATGATGAAATAAATATGATAAGTTAATATGTTTATTCAATAAAATAATAAAAACCATTGTAACAAATAAAATAACAATTTCGAAAATGTTGCAGTTAAATGAGCTATAAACATAGGATCCATCAAAATAAGGATTTAATAAAATACAAAACTATCAATTGTGTGATATAATCAGAATTCATATATTTTATATAAAACGTAATATATGGAATGTGATAAATAAATATAATATATAATTAAAATGAAATAAAAAAAATATTAATTTAATAAAATATAAATATATTATAATATAATTGTCAATGCGGTATAAGAAATTTATATATAAAAAAGAATTATTAGTTGTAATATTTCAAAAAACACATAATCTAATAATAATATAAAATTTATTTATCCCCATATACTTTTAATTTGAAGGCAATATGTATATAATAATCCTATTTATTTATTATTAACAAACTCAGAATAGTATATTTATATATAAAATGAAATAATTATTAAATTCTTGCATAAGATAATTTATGAACACAAAATTAAAGTGATATTTTGAATTTTATAAGGATATGTATATAATATGAATTTAAAAAACGAATTATTAGATACTTATGTAATGATATTTGTAACAATATATTGTCATTCTTCATTATTAAAAAAATATTAAAACATTTATTTTTTTGATTTTCATCGTAACTATGATCTTCAAATATATATTTTAAAATTAAATCATTTATAGGAAAAAATATATATGTTGAATTTATGGATATATAACAAATATATAGGAACATTTCCATAATATATATTATATTTTTTGTTATTTTTATATTTTACATATTCATAATATAGCTTGTACACATAGGCGTGTTAAAGCATATAATTTTACAAATTGTAATTATATGTAAAATCTATCATGAGTATAACTAATTCTGCCAATATTCAAGTAAAATTTTCATATGTAAAAATATAATGTAAAAAAAAAAATTTACCTAATTATTAATTAATTATTATATATATGTAGATCATATTTTTTGAACAATTATATATTTACTGATTCGGTTAAAACATAATATTTTTTAAATCGTATTATTCACAATCTTTATAATTATATATTAATATATATTAAAACAAATATAATTAATATGAATATAATAAGTAAATACAGTCTTAAATCATTTACACTATCGTGAAATATTTTTACAATTTTATTTCTAATAATATTTCATCCTTTTTTTCTAAAGAAATATGTACATTATTAATAAATTTTATTTTTATACATATATCTCCTCATATGTAATAATTTTAAGTAGTAATATATTTTGTATTAATCAATTTTTTTTTATCTCATTCGTACACTTTTACTGCTTGGGAGTGCTTTTTCCATATATAAATATTAAACATAATTTTAAATTTATTTGTGTCATGTCCTTGTACTATTTCTTATTTCTGGAAATAGTAATATTATATATATTTATTTGAAGATCTGTTTATATATAAACATATTTAATTAGAATATGCCATTCCTATAAAATGAGATTCTTATATTTTATTCAGCATAAAGGCCATAATAAGCATATTTTTTAAAATCCTCTTATAGGAAACAAAATCATATGCTGTATATATGTAATATAGATAAATATTATTAGAATGTTTTCTTAAATGTGCCCATGGAACTCATCATTTTTCTTAAGACTAATAAAATAATTTGAATAATCACATTGTGAATGTTTGATATATTAACATTATAAACTATGATTTCTAGAAGAAACGTACTTAAACACATACTATTTCATTTCAACTCTCTATATACATTTTATTATTTTTGTGTTATGTATGTGTATATTATGCAAAAAGGATTTAACTTAATAATATAGTTTTTGAATCATATATTATTTATTGCATAAAAAATTGCAACTGAGTATAATAATAATATATTTCTATTAATCTTCGTCCATAAACTTTGTTTATATATTATAAAAAGTTAAGATAAATGGCTATAAGTACTAAAATCTGAATATATGTAAAAGCAACATATGAACAGAAGAGAGATATTTATAACTGCTAATTATTGTGGATATTCTAGAATATATTAATATATATATATATTATATTTAAACATATGAATACATAAATATATAATATCTACATAATAAATAAATATATATAAATACCTTATAATTTTAATAAGGTATTTATAAACAAAATATAAATATTATATGTATAATGTCAAAACCTTTTAAATGTTTTTACTAAATCCTAGATGTGATATCTGCTAATAGGAGAACTCCGTATATTATATAATATGATCAAATATTTCCTATAATTTATTCAGTAGATCCTTATCTAAGCCAATAAAATATATCCAAATAATTATAAAATTAGTGAATCAATTGAAAATTTTGTAAATTAATAAATTATATTTATATTGATTTATATAAATACAAATGGTACATATAATAAATATAATAAAATTATTATTTATGCAATAATACATTCCTTTTTACATTATATTGTGTTTCTTTAAATTTAAAATAAAAGCATAATATTTTTATAGTGCAATTAATAATAATGATATATTTTACTAGTTTTATTTTTTTAATACAATATTTGCCTAAGAATTTTAAATTATTTTTTATATTTTACATATAAATGCTATAAAAAATAATTTTGTGCTTCACATATATAATTGATATATTCTATGAATAATTGTTTATAGAACACATGATAGGAAAAAGCTATTTTTCTTCATATTTTATTTATTTTATTATAAATCCTGTAAAAAATATATTGAAAGAATATAATAGTGTATTCATTTATATAACTATATTTTAATTCATACAAGATTTTTCATATTATATGTCAGGCTTGATATAGACGTAGCATTGTTTTAAAATCATATAATTTATATCAATTCTTTAAACATATATAATAAAGAATGAAAATATTTATTTCCTAATAAAGCATAATTAACACTATCAGAGGAGAAAAAATATATTATTACTATATATTTTAAATAATAGATATATTTTTGTTCCTTTTCTCACTTATTTTTAAGACTTGTGACTTCGACATATATCCAACATCTATTTATTTCAAAATAAAATATATACAAGTGCTATAATATAATACTCTCTTATAATCGATATATGAAAATTAGAAGAAATTGTTAAATATTTTATTACTGAAATTTTGCTTTCTATTACAAAAATTAGTTTTTTATTAGTTTTTTTATAAAATTTTCCTTTAAATTATTTCCTAATAATGATGGGTTCCCTTCTTCATATAAATTTGATATTTGTGATATTGAAAAAAAATAATTTCTGCCTTCAAATCGCAATCTTCTTATATATTTTACTAATGTTTAGTATACATATTTTTTGTACTCATCTACATTATTCTCTATATTATATATGAATATTAAAACTATAAAAAATTAGTAGTTTTCATACGTCAATTTTGAGAATGATAAATATTGTGTAAAAGAAATAATATATATATACATTTTTATTAAACAAGTTACTAGAAAAATGTAAAACTGTGTAATATTTTAAAATTATTAAATATGTATTAGTGTGTCATGATATAGTATTTATGTTAACAAAAAATAAGAACATGTATTATTGTAATTATAACATATAAATTACGAGAATATTGCAATACATATTATAAGGAATAAAAACTCCTATGCGATTTGTATATCTTATGTTAAGTGATAAATAAAATTAAATAAGAAATAACAAAAAACAAATGGCATTTAATGAATTAGAGCAAATATTAAATTTAAATGCACCCCCAAGTTAATGATTCACTAAAATAAATTCACAAAAATTGTTATTTTAATCAAATCATAAATAGAACAAGAATAAAAACTTTTTTTACTTTATTCTCTGCTTGAATAATTTATTCCATTAAAAGAGAAAAATAAATAATATGTATGGATTAATATTATATATACATATGTTCTTATGTTATGTGCTTTATTTATAATGAAAAGTTTTTCCTTGAAAAATTCAGAAAAATAACAAGATTACGAAGGCATTCCTATGTCATTTATACTTCTTACATAGATGAGAAAAAAATTTATTTTTACTTGATATTTAACTATCTTATTTAACGCAAAATAAAAATACGAACACTTATTCAATAAGACGATAATTAGTGAAATATATTTGAATCACAAAATCTTTCATATATTATAATGCTATATTTTGGAGTAAATATTTTATACGAGTCAAATAATGTCATACGTTATTCTCTTAATTATAAAATATATTATATATAATTTGTAAGCTTTTTCTCACACATAAGACATGATAATTATAATTCTTTTATAATGAAATATGTTTAATGAATTATTATATATATTTTTTATTTCATTTCGTATATAATATACCACACACATCATAAAGAAAAAAAAAATTAACGTATATTCATATATAAAAGTTGATATAGAAGAGAAAACCTGTTTGTAATTCTAAATGTAAAAATTTAGAAAAATTAATTCTCTTAAAATAAAATATTACCAATTAAAAATACTATTTATCTTGATTTGACGAATGTAGGGCATATAATTTCAGTTATTTATTCACTTTAATTATATGATTTTAATACAGAAGATTTATGTATAATATATGTACTTCTTCATATGCAAAGGAGGTATAGTACAAAAATATAATGTCTATAATATAACTATACTGAAAAATATATATGTTATAGATATTGGAGCAAAGAATTCTTAAACATATATTGTATTTCTCAAAAGGATAAAGAATATTTATATAATAATATGCTAGTGTTCTACCAAGAAGAACATAAATATTATGTTCTTCTATGAGATGAATATCATATTATAATTTTCCAATATAAGTTAACATTACAATAAAATAATGCACAAATGTATACAATAAATACTTATTGAAATATGCTTTTCCGTTAGTTCATTTATTTTCTTATTATTAAAAGGATATATTCAATATTTTGCGGTTTACCCATCTACTAGAATCATAATTCTATATTTTCCTTAAACACACTAAAATATTTATATAAATTACTTCTTTAAAAATGAAATAAACATTCATTGTGCCATATATAACTCAGTTATCCTTATATATAGCCTATTTAATCACATGAATATTATTTCTTTTATTCAATTTTTATAACTATAAAATATGTCCCTTAGCAATGATAAAATTGTATGTTTTTCTTTTTTATAATTATTATTTCTTTGTAATTTTAATTTTTTTATCTATATTTAAGTAAATACGCCATTTATTTCTATATAAATCCACGTTATCCTATGTTATATTTTTCCTTTTTCTTGTCAATATAAAGGCGTGCCTTATTTTGAAGAAGAAAAGGGTAAAGTTGGCAGTAGTACAGATTTCACATTAGGGAAAGTATATTGTAAATCTGAAAATATTAAACATAGAAGCATTGATAATAATTATTATAAAGATAATTGTCTTATAGATTTTTCTTATCTAAATTATTAGAAATCACAAAGCCTTATAACAGGTGAAGACATATATTCTATATACTTGTATTACTGGATATATGTGGAAGGTTTTACTAAATCATATAATAATTATATCAAAACCATTTATGAAGAATTCCTAAAGACATATGCAAACTCGGACCAAATAATATGCTAGGGTTATAAGGAAATAATTACGGATGATATATTGAGAAAACTGCATGATTTGTATGATATGAATTGCAAACATAGTAATTCAAATAATAAATTTGGTAATGATGACAAGTGTAATTCCACTAAAAAAATTCTCAAATATATATATAAATACAAGAAATTATGTGAATTAACTAAATATACCGATTTTTTTAGAGAATTAGAGCAGTTTAGATATCGATATAATGAAAAAATGAGAACTTTAAGTTGTCCTAATTTTTATTACCATATATTATCTTCTTTTCAAATATATAATATAAAGTTTTTTATTTTAATGACATTTGTAATGATGTTAGTAATATCCATTTTTTTAACTATTTTGTATAAGGTTAGTTAGAATATCATTATTATGATTTTATATTATACTATAATTATTTATAAAAATTTAGAATGTACAGATGTTGTAATATAAAAAATTTTATTACTATTTCAAATATTTACTTTAATTTTTAATTAGTTCACCACATGTGGCTCATATTTTCGCCAAAGAATAATAAGGAAAAAATATATATATGATGGTTTAAATGAAGAAAATAGTATATGTAAGAATTCAAAAATATCTGGCAGCATGTCAACAAATAGGGGGTATAATATTTTATATAATTCTGAGTATTATTATCATTAAATATATAATTTTAAAAATATATATTTTAAATAAATAAAAACTTATCAATCCTATTATACACAGAATGGCATTATATATAATTTCACATAGTAATGAAAAAATTCCTGTAATAAAAAAATACACAGGAAAGAATCAAATTGCAGATATAAAAAAATCATCATTCCAATATGTAACACAGCAATGACAAAAGTAAGATTATCCATAGACACAAATAATTAAAAAAAGTACTATAATTAATTATAATTCTTGCCTTGTTTTTTCATGTTGTATACTTTTAACATTAGTAAAAATTCTTTGCATATGATAAATCAGTAATGTATGTCAAAATTACAAATCTTTATAATGTTTGAACAGAATTAATATAAATTGATTCCATGTATTTCAAAATATACTTTTTTATGTAATATTAATGAAAATAATAATTATCCCTTTTTATTATATATATTAATAATTTTTGGAAATAAAATATATATTTTATTATAATCCTAATAATTAAATAATCACATATTCTTCTATTAATATATTCAATTAACTGACTCAAATATTTTGTTAGTATATCCAAGTGCTTAATATAAGATATATTTTTTTTTTATTCACTTTATTTTTTATTGTATATACTCTTTTATTTTCCATTTCTTTATATTTTTTTGCGCTTATTAATTCTTATGGTTTATATAAATATATAATAATTTGTAAATATTTATTTCGTCCTCGCCCTATTAAAGGAAATAAACAATTTCATATATTAATACATAAATAATAATGAATTGTAAAATTGTCCTTCAACATGCATCAAATGATTGAAACATTTTAATTCTATTTACAACAATTTATATTATATAAACAGATAATTTTCACATTATATGTATGTATTTCTTAATAGACATGATTAATGTTGATATTAATAAATTTTAAAAGAAAAATTCTGATATTTTTAGTCACAAAAACAAATATATATTATTAAAGTATAATATATTCTCAATATAGTTTTGAAAAAAAAGAATATATAAAAATTTTATATAAGAATAAAATATACGTATAAAATTTATTAAATATACCTTGTGTAAAATTGAAATCCGTGAATGATTTAATAATAAATAAAAACAACGTTAAAAATAATATAAATATTATAATAATATTTTCAAATATATTTTTCTGTAAGAAACAATAAAATATTCATTATTCTATGAAGCTTCTATTAAATATAACAAATAATGTAATGCACTATATTTAGATAAAATATAAAAAAATACTATAAAATAAATTATTTTAAATTAGCTAAAATTAAATTCAAATGTAAATATATTTAATAAACTCATACATACATTATGAATCCTTTTAAACAATTCTAAAAAGTTATACAATATATGCTCTAGGATCCAACATAACATAATAATATGTAATTGTGTAAACCGTTCCATTAAATTAAAACTCTGAATGCTAATCCCTGAGCCCTGTAATCTAAAACCTTTAAGAACATCTATCATATCATGCACAGGATATTATTATATCAATATGAGATGATATTTGTTATAATTTTGAAAATATCCATTATGCTTATATATATATTTTTTATTTATGTATCCACTTTCAATGATTTATTTAAATATATTGCAAATGTCTATGTTTTTTGAGTAAGTTATAAATTTAATTCATATTATAATTCATGACTGTGATATAATGCAAATTTTATTTGCTCTAGTTTACCGTAATAAGTGATATATATTAAATTGTCTATATTTTATGTTCTTATTTTAAATGCTTACTAATTTTATTAAAAATGTATCAAAAGAGAAAATAATAATAATTATATTAAGCAGTTTAATATGCACTTCTAAAAATTTTACACGCAATTCTGAACAGGTATAATTGCAAAGAAACATTAAATATTATTTCATAAAAAATGTAAAATCCATCTGCGACTTATAGTTTTGAATAAAATAAAAATTTACCTATAAATGAAAAAATATATTGTATCAAAAGAATTTATTTCTTACGAATAAAAATGAAATTTTATTTACTTCATACATAATATTATTCTGTTATATATGTTTATTCTTAACACACCAATCTTGAATGTATATATTATCGAAATAAAGTAATATCTTAGATAATTCCTTTTTTATATGCATTATGTTTCCTGTGTTATTTATTATGTATAATAAAAAATATCTTATATATACTATCATAGCTGATAAACATTAAACTTTGGTTATAATAATATATTAATTTATATCCTTGTGAAATTTGTGATTATAATAAATTCACAAAATTATTTCTTGGAGCAATAAGCAAAATAATATTTTTTGATATATTATAATTTTAAAAAGGCTAATATTTATATGGCACCAAGCAAAAGATTAACTTAGCACCTATTTTTTTGCTGCAATAAATCGTATATATATTATATATTAAAATAATGAAAGATAGGAAAACTATGTTATTCTTAATCAATGTAATCATTAAGTGATTAAAAATCGATGTCATTACATTTTTAGCTTAGTAACTATTTATCATTTTTTTAATATTTTTTTCTAAATAAATCACATTATCAAAATAAACATATTTTTTTTTAATGTTAAGCAAATTTAAAACCTAAATAATATTATTTCTCATATTATCTAATTTTTAGCATATTTATTGTTAATGAAAATTCTAATTAATAAACTATTCATAAGAAAATTATTTTTGAGAGTAATTAAAAATATATTCATTATATTGTAAGCAAAATGTAAAAAAAAAAATTTATATCAATATTGCTAACTAATTATAATATAGAATGTAAAATTCTGAAAAATAATATATTTACTATTTGTATGATTTTTTTCCCCATATTTTGTAATACTAAATTTAATTGAAATATATTACAAAAAAAAAGTAATGGAAGATTTGTAATATAGCAAAATATTACTTTGTATATGCGCTTATAAATGAATTAAATATATTTATTTTATAATAAAATTAGTTTTTTATAAAAATTAAGCATCAATTTAATATTTTCATTACATAACTGGACGCATATTAAAATGATTTTATTATAATTTTTACAAACAAGTAATATATTTAATTACTGAACGATAAATTATATATATGTATGATAATAATATAAATTCTGTACACATATAATATGGTTATATCGTATATGAACTATACTTAATATTGATAATTATCTTTTAATATGTTAGTATTATTATATATCATATATTCACATAATATACAATTTTATGTTTTATTATTCCAATATAATATATTGAATCATATAAATGTATAATTTAGACTAACTGCTATCAGAAAATATAATAAAAGTTTATACATTTTTATTCTGTAATTAAAAACTACTAGGAAATAAGAGTTATATTTTTTTAATATAATCCATAAACAAAAATCATAAATCACATTATGATATACATATTCGTCTTATAACTATGCCTATTTATTTATTTTTTATAAAATAAAACAAATGCATATAAATGAGCAATATATAGGATAATTATTGTTTATATGAATTTATACTATTTAATTTATTCCTGAGGATAACACTTTTTTATATTATATTATATATATAACTATATTAAAAAGAATATATGATCTTTTAACATCACAATATTATTCCAAAATTGTAAATTTTCTTCAGTATTTTATATTTATTTGAAAATATATTCCTATTTGCCAGAGCATATAATATCATCAATACTTAAATTATATATGTAGTGAATAAAAAATATATATTTGAGGAAATTATATTAATTAGTATTATTTACATCATTTAATATACATTGTTTAAATGTTATTTATCAATATATCAAAATATTTTTAATATATATAAAAAAATATAAATAATAAAACAATAGATATATTTCTTATATTAACTCATATAAATCCATATGGATAACGCAACAACTAAGGAAAAAATTGTATGTTTAAAACCACAAAACAACATTTTATTTTATAAAATACAAAAAAAGTACATATATCATTGAAAACGAAGCAATAAATATATTTTATGTATTTAAATTATGTATTTTCTAATTCATCCTTAGTTCGATTTTACTGGTATATTTCCCAATTGTAGAAATGATTTTAATAATTGTTGGGAAAGACGACTCAGAGATCTGAGACAAATATATAATCAGTATTCCCCGGTGTGCCGTGATTATCAAAATGATATTAGAGCATATCATGTTGGTAATCAAGATTTTCAAACTGATTGTATAGCACTAGGTTTATATTTAAATTTTATAGATGATAAAAAAAAAAGTTCAGTTGAAAAATTATATTTAGAAGCATCTTGTAAATATTTCTTTTACAAGTTAAAACACTTAGTTCACAAACATAAGGGTACGTGTCATAATACAGTTGAATGTTACAATGAGTTTATTAAAAAGAATGAAAAAAAAGATGTACACAGAATATCAGTGCCCCAAATTTGCCTTCAATATGCCAATAATAATGATATTGATGAATATACATTTAAAATATTGGGACAACTTGATAATCTGTATGATTTAATTGAGATTTTTAAAAAGAGAGAACATAGAACGTATACCAATGTTAAAAAATTTGATTCGAATATTAACAATTTAGAAAAATATTCAGCTACATATAATAAGAGCCTTAATGAAGAATTAGAAAAAATTTTTAAAGTATTTAAAGATTTCTTTAACACTTGGTCTACATGTTGGTATGGTAAGAGTGCCTTGCCTTACTTCTCTAACAAATGGAGAGATAGGAAAACATTCAGAGGTACAGAAAAAATCAGAAATGAAATTACAAGGGTAAATACAAGCACGGAAATAAGTGCAAGTATAGGAACAAGGACAAGTACAGGAACTAGTACGGGAGTAATTTTTTTTTGTTTTGCAATTATACCAATTTTGTTTATTTTGTATAAAGTTAAAAATAAATTTTTATTTATTTAATTTAAGTTATATTACAATATACATTTTAAATAATAGTCTATAATATATAAAAAAATAGATTAAATATATATGAATATATGAAATAAATGCTTTATTTGCAGTATATATCTTATGGATCATTTTTACAACCCAGCGTAAGAAAGCTAAAAAGAAGGTTTAATAAAAAAAATAGATATCATCAAAACTTAATGGATTCATTTCATGGGAAAAAACATAATTTAAATTATAATGATTACCGAATAGCATGTATCTCAGAGGACTAATCTTATAAAAATAAAATTGCAGTAGGTAGAGTGAACAAAGTTTTAAGAAATAAAATATATCTTATAGAATTAAATATTTTGTAAGTATGAATAAAATTAATTTGAAAATAAAAATATTTTAATATTATCATAACAATAAGAAAAAGAGTTTTTACATTTTTGTATTGTATATAAATAAAATATGACGTTTTAAATATTTCGTCAAAATAAATAATAATTGTAACTATTATATATAAAAAACAAGCCATTATCTATGTATATATATAATTATATTAGGTTATTAAATATTTAAATATATAGATCTTCAAATGTTAAGCATTACTTACTATTATAAAACTTTTTTTTTCTTAGCTATTATTGCACATTTCACCTGATTATAGCGATTAATATAATAATAAATTGGTTTGGCTCTTTAAATTTAAGATATATTATTTAACAATTAAATTAAGTTTTAGATTATAGAATTCAGGTATTTTTTACAGTGTTATTGATTTAAGTGCCTTTTATTTTTCTATGATTATGATTTTATTTATTATGTGGTTCTATGCATAAATTTAGAAAAAAAAATATCTTATAAATGAAATATACAGTTTTATGTATCAGATAACATGGAAATTTTTTTATTTCTATCAAGATAATGCATTTAATGAAAATAAAGTAAAATTAATTACTCTTTATTAATAGTCTATATTTTATTATAATATATTTCATATATTCATGTTATATACTAACCACCTAATATACATAACGTTGAATTCAAAAACCAGTGATGAACATAACATGTTCTAATCGTTTCATTGTATAATAAAATTGTATAAATGATATTTATATATTTAATATTATATTTTCTTAAATTTTAATAATAATGCTTATTATATTAATTATACACACATTAAATTTGTTTGGTTATTACATTTTTATTTTTTTTTTTTTTTGTAATTCAATTTAAACTTTTTGTTTTTTTATTAAACAACCTATA